CCCTCAGCCCTGTCTACACCCTGCAGTCAGCAAATGCCATGTGGCCACCGGTGGTAGTCCAGAGGAGGCCAGTGTTGGGGGGCAGTTTGTGGGGTCTGAAGCCCAGCTGCCCAGATCTAAAGCCTGAATTTGGTGTGGGGCTTAGGGCCAGTGGTTTAAACTCTCTGGGGCTCAATTTCCTCAAATGTAAAATGAGGATACGATACTCTCGGCTTGTAAAGAGGATTTGGAGAGATCTGGAGTGTTCTGGCTCATCGTAGGCTGGGCACCTGATAGGCACTAAGAAAGAGGCCAATGATCATGGGAGGGAATTATTTCTGCCCATTTTAGGAGAAACATTCTGACTTCTGAATCTACATAAATCATCTGTGGGGCACTGAGAAATATTGAAGCTCAGCCCCATCCCTGGAGAATCTGATGTACTTGGTTTGGGGCGAGGCCTGGACATCACCATTTAAAATCTCTCCAAGTGACCTCAATGTTCAAGCAGGTTTCAAAACACTGCAGGAAGACAAGGGGCACCTGGGTGGCTCAGCTGGTTGAATGTCTGACTCTTGATCTCAGCTCAGGTCTTGATCTCAGGGTCATGAGTTCAAGCCCTGAGTTGGGCGTGGAGCCCACTTAAAGAAAAAAAGTTTGAAAAACACCATAGGAAGACAAAGGTACAAAGGCACAACGTCTGGAAAGGTCTTGGCCCTGGGAATAGCAGGAGGTACCTGAGGTGGAGCATGGGGAACATGGGCATGGTAGAAGGGGAGAGCTTAAGGACTGAGGTCTCTAGGTCCTGGATCCCTAGTCAAGCCTTTCCACTGCCTCTGGTTTGTTTGAAGTTTGAGGTAAGAGGGTCTCCCCCAGAGCAGGCTCTAGCCACACTGATGTCCCTGAGTGCTCTGGCCTTGGGCTTCCCATTCTCTGGGAACTGAGACAACTGAACCACAATGCCCATGGCCCCACCACTGAGAGGAGGCTGGAACCCCTTGCATTCGGGTCACTCCTGACCTTATCAAGGCTGTATCTCCTCTCACAGCCTCTCCTCTAAGCCACAGAACAGAGGTATCAGGGATGGTGCTGAAGGTGGCACAACCTTTGGGGACACTGTTTTCTTTGTGGCCTTTATAAATGATGGCTCCTGGAGGTATGAGACTGAGACCAGAAGTACTGGGCAGGGATGGTCTCATGTCCCTATTTTACAGAGAGGGATGCTAAGGCTTGGGATGGGACTAGACTGAGTGCTCTATGAGGGCAGGAGCAGGGCCTGTCCTCCCCCTGCCCACCAGCACCAGCCTGGCACACAGTAGTCCACTAGAGAATGTTGATGACTCAATGGAGGAAAAAAATACAACCAGGAAGAAATGACCTTTCTGACAAGGGCTGTGTGTCAAGGCCCCAGCAGGGAGGACAACAGAGTCCAGATTTGGGCTGCCTCCAATGTGCTGTAAGTTGCTAAGGCAACTCTGCCTCCAAAGTGCTGTAAGAACTCAGGTACCTCCCTCCCTCTCCTGGGACTTAAGACCCTTAGAGAGTGGGCCTTGGCTCAGAGGACCCATCTCCCTGGTAGTAGAATTCATAAAACAGCTCCCCTCCATGTTTCCAAAGCTAAGGCCCTAGCAGGTTTCCTGGACTTGGGAATGCTGGTTGCCTGTGTTGCAAGGCTCCCGACCTGGCCCTGCTCCTTCCCTGACTCTTGCCTGCATAAATCACCTTGTGCAGCTTGGAGAAACTTGTAACAAATGTCTGATTGTCCCTGATTAGATGAGCCAATGAACTTCCGTCCTGTGTTGCTCAGATTCCTCTTTGCAAGTCCCAAATTAAAATTCCAGACCAGAGCAAGAGGATTTAAATTGGATTACTGGATGGGGTCCAGGGAGAGAGGAACAATGGACGGGGGGGCAAGGGGTCCAGGCCCCCACATCCCTGCCTCCATATGCACCCAGGCTGCAAACAAATGTGAGAAAGGAAAGAAGGGCCAGAACTTGATTAAAAGCAAATTTAAAACACAATTAAGACCAAAGCTCATCCTGAACAATTAGGACCAAGGCAGGGGAAGGATGGTTGTCCTCTGCATCCTCTGGAGATATGGACAGAAGCATCTTGTGGGCCTAGAGCCAGAGGCCTGCAGCAGGGGGGTTCATGGCCCAGCAGAGTGCTGGGAAGGTAAGGGTGGTGGGCTCTGTGCACACCTTGGAATCATGTGGGAGTCAAGGGCATGGCTTAGCATCAGAGTGACCCGGGTTCACATCCTGGCCTGATGCATGGCATGTCTGAGTCTCTGTCCCCTCTGTGAAGTGGGCCTCCCTCATGGGGTTGCAGTGAGAGTAACCTGTGACAGACAAGACATGGTGAGTGCCCAAACAGTGAATGCCCTTTTCCGTCATTCTTTTTTCTTTTATTAGAGAGAGAGAGAGAGAGAGAGAGAGAGAGAGAGAGAGAGAGAGAGAAACAGCACATGTGAGAGCAGGGGAGAGGGGCAGAGGGAGAGAGAGAGGGAGAGAAAGGGAGAGAGAGGGAGAGAGAGAGAGAGAGAGAGAGAGAGAGAGAGAGAGAGAGAGAGAATCCCAAGCAGCAGGCTCCACGCTCAGAGTGGAGCCTGATGTGGGGCTCGATTTCAGGACCCTGGGATCATGACCTGAGCCAAAATCAAGAGTTGGATGCTCAACCAACTGAGCCCTTCAGGCTCTCCCCCATCATTCTTCTATTGAAAATAATTTGTGGCATGTCAGACTGGCTCAGTTGGAAGGGCATGCAACTCTTGATGTTGGAGTTGTGAGTTTGAGCCCCACACTGGGTGTAGAGATTACTTAAATAAATTTTAAAAAAATAAAAAGAAAATAATTTGTATTTGGCACCAACTATGTACCAGGCCATGGGCTAGGCTGCAGATGCAGTGGGAAGGAGAGAGACCTCTGCCCTGCCTTGAGGGGCAGGGTCCAGCATGTGGGTGGGGTATAGAGAGATTTGGGATCAGGACCCAGGCCTTGGGCTCTACCCTCCCTGCCAAGCTATCAAGGTTGATAGTTTGTCTAGAATTGGGGAGAAGAACTTGGGGAGGGACCTCAGACTTGCAGTGTCCCGGGAGGATGGGCAGGGGGCTGGGCCCTGGGCTCCATCTGTGGAGGGCAGGTCAGGCATCTGTCATTGCCACCACTCAGCACCTCTCATTGAGGGAACTGGTCCTAAAGCCAAGGTGGGCAGCGGGCCTAAAGGATGCCTCTTCCCAAATTTATCAGAAAGTTTCAACACAAGTTCAGGGCTGGTTGCCCGCACTTTGTAAAATGGAGGAAAGTAAGGAAGTAGTGGGCAAATGAGGAGTCTGGAATGAATGGAAGAGAGAGAGAAAGAGAGGCAAGAAAGGAGGGGACAGGATCCAGGTCAGTCCCAGTTCTAGGAAAAGCAAGGAGGAGACATGATATGCTGGATGGATAGGGCAGCAGAATGTTTCTCACAGTCAGGGGAGACACTCTTGCCCTACCCTGGGACTGCTGTCCCAGTTGAAGGCTGGGCTTTGCCTCCTCCCCGGGGCAGTTCATTTCTCCAATTGTCTCCCCACCTGTGACCAGGAGTTCCTGAAGGTCAGGCTGGACTGGGGCTGGGCTCACTCTGGGTTGTCTGGATCCACCCTGGGTTGGGAGGCCTTCAGGCTCCACTTCCTCTGGGACTCTGGTCCCAGCATGCCAGCCTCTCCCTATTCTATGATTCCAGGTCACACAGGATGGGCAGGGGACCCCAGGGGGATGGCAGGGCCCAGCTCCTGGGGAAGAGAGTTCTCTCCTTGGGGCCTGGATGTGGTGGGGGCTTGAGCTAGGTCACTGACCTGATTTAACCCTGCCAGGCCCCTGGTCTGAGCTTGGGTATGGCTTGTATGGATTTGCTCATCCTTTAAAAAAAAAATAGTTTTACTGAGATACAATTCACATACTACAGAATTTACCCACATAAAGTATATAATTCAGTGGTTTTTTTTTGTTTTTTTTTTTTGTTTTTTTTAGCACATTCAGAGTTGTACAACCATCACCACAATCTAATTTTAGAGTATTTTCATCACCCCAAAAAGAAACCCTGTACCCATTAGCAGTCCCTCCTCATTCCCCCTCCCTTCCAGCCCTAGGCAACCACTAATGTACTTTCCATTTCTGTGGATTTGCCTATTCTGGATATTTCACAGAAATGGGATCACACAATAGGTGGTCTTTTGTGGCAAGCTTCTTTCACTTAGCAGAATGTTTTCAAGTTCATCCATGTTGTCATGTGCATCATCAGTACTCCATTCCTTTTTATTGGACTCCTCTTTTTGACACAGGCTGAGGCTGGGGCAGTGGCAGCTGTGCCTCTGATCTGTGGGCAGCTTAGACACTCTCCCTCATTTACTGCACAACCTTGTAGCTCTGGAAGGCCCTCCCCACCTGCCTTCCCTTGGGGTGGGTGGAGTTCGACAGGCCTGCTGGCTTTGTACAAGTGGTCAGTGCATCTGAGTAGGGTCTGTCAACTCCCAGAATGGCAGCACCTTGGAGCTGACAGCCACAACCTCTCTAAGATTAGAGGGGGAGAGTGAGGCTCAGAGGGAGGCAGAGAAACATTCAAGGTCATGGGCAGAGCAGGGGCTCCAATCCCTAGCATTACATGGCTTCCACATTCTCTGTGGGGCATTTGGGGTCGTTCCACACCCCCCCCCCCCCCCTCAGAGCTGCAGCCTACCCTCCCAGCCATCAGCAGATGCTCACCCAGGGCACGCTCATAGAACAGAGGAATCTGAGAACTCCAAGCCTGCCTGGGCCCCACCTTCATGCCTGCACAAGAGCCCCAAGACCCCAGGTCACCCTCCAGATAAAACTATCTGTTCCTGCCATTGCTGCCCACAGTCCAGGTGGGCACAGCCCTGCCAGTGAATTCAGCCTGAATACAGAGGGCCAGGAGGGCCACGTGTTCACGCTGGGTAGGCACACTGCCCACACAGTGCAGAGCCACTCGCCTGGCCCTCCCTCAACCCACATAACTGCACCTACCTTCAGGGCCTGCACCTTCCTGTCCAGCAGGCTCTCGATGTCTCCTGCCACCTTCTCCACCAACTTCTGAGGCTCGTTCTCCTGCACCTCAAACAGATTCCTGTTGTCCTTGTAGATCTAGAAGGAAGCAGGAGCCAGGGGTGAGGCCAGGGTGGTCCCACATTTCCATGTCACAGCCCCTTCATATCCCCCCTGCACAGTATGATCCAGCCCTTGGCCCTGCCCCAACTCTGGCTCTGGCCATTCGGAGAGCATGGACATCTGAGGGTTGGGCCCACTGCCCTCCTGAACTTGAAGAAAGGCTACTACGGTCATGGGTTTCACAGCTTGCCCTGGTTGTGGCTGGTGGGATGGGGTTGTCACTGCCTTCTCTGGGACTCAGGGTTCCTCCTCCAGGAGCCATGAACAACAACCGTGTGACTAGTTCAGAGTGGCTGAGAGCAGCAGAGGCGGAAGGGTGGGTTCAATAGGAGGCAGGGTGTGTGTGTTGGGGGGGAGGGGGGGAGATGGGACCAATAAGCACACACGGCATACCACATGCCTGCTGACATGAGGACACTGTCACACTCACTACACCACATATGCATCACATATAGCCACCCCTATACCCTTTTTTGCTGGTGTTGCCCCGGAACATTTACAGAAACTGCAGTGGGGACTCTAGGCACCCCTAGGGGTTTCTCTCTCATTCAGCGCACAGAATATGGGGGCAGGGACCAGGGTAAAGGAGGCATGTGGGGAGGATAAATCTGCCCCTCTCTCCTTGAGAACTGGGTCTGTGCCACACTTACGTGGGGGTATAAAGCTGACAGTCTGCATCTGCATGCGTGTGTGTGTTATGGCTCAACACACATCCATCTGTGTGCATGTGCCTGCATGTTGGGGGTAGGATGGGGTTAGGGCCTCTAGATGAAGCCTGGGGCTTATATGTGAGTCACAGAAGTGAATTCAGCCGGCCTCTTTGTTCCAGGCTGGGGTCTTGGGTGTCTGCACATGCATGGATGTATGCATGTGCGTACGTGTGTGTGCATTGTACACTCACGTGTGTCCATCCAAATGACCCCAAGAGGTCTGCTCCCAAAGCTGACTCCTTCACAGAGGTCATATGCCACTACTGAACTGCTGCCATCGGGCCACGCCATTGGGCAGTGCAGAACCAGAGGAATGCAGAGAGAGAAGAGGTGATGAGGAGGAGATAAGGAGGTGGGAGAGGCAGCTGATGAGAGACAGACAGGCAGGCAAGATAAGGTCGGAGAGTGACAGCCAGACGAGGGGGAGATAAGGCCTCCAGCAGTTGATGGGGGAGGAGTTGGGGGATCAGGCGCCAGAGCCCCTGCCCTGACGCCCACTCAGCACCCAGCAGTCCAAGGGTTAAAGTGCCACACAAAGCCGGCTCAGGCAGTCTCCTCCTCCTGCCGCCCCCCCCATCCCTCCCGGCTTCTCTTTTCTTTTTGTCCTTCTCTTAGAACAAAATAATTTGTGGCGAATTCGCTCCTTCCCACAGAGCAGTGCCGATTAGAGGGCGAGGCATGAGGCCTGGACGCAGGGCCAGGGAGGACGGAGGCCCCAAGTGGGCATCAGGCCAGGCTGTTCCCTGGGTTCCCTGGGCTGGGCCTCAGGGCAGAGGCCCCCAGACAGAAGATGGTGGAGACAGAGATCAAGGAGGGGTCTGAGTCTGGGGTCACTGGGAAATGTGGAGAGCCTGGAGTGCAGTGCCCACTGTTGGGGGGAATTGAGGCTCAGAAACAAGAAAGGACAGGTCAAGTCCACACGACTCTGAGTGGCAAAGCCAGGTCCTCCTGGACCTCTCCTTCCCAGGTTTCAGGGCTTTAAAAATACACCCGTTCCCAAGCATGAGCTGCTGGCCTGGAGCCGGGACACCCTGGGCTTGTTGAGGCCAGCTATACTTTCTAAAGCCTCGGCCGAGTGCACCCTGGCCCACTTGTGCCAGCAGGGGGCGCAGCTGCCTGGCTTCTCTGGGTAGGGGATGAAGTTCGGACACCTGACTCTCCTGTCAAGGTCATTCCCAGGTGTCCCAAACAGGGCTGTCCATAGCCGCGGCAGTCCTGGATCAGAGGCTGGACCAAGCAGCCTCCTGACAACTCTCCTCTGGGAGCCCCGGAGTTCCTCCCCACAGGATCCAGGGTAGCCCTTGCAGCGTCGCATGGTGACTAAGACAGGGCTCAGGAGCCATAGAGGGAGTGGGTCTCCAGGTGGCAGGGTCACACCCCAGGGCCCTGAAAGGTGGCATAAGGGCTTGAAAGCAGGAACCCTGCTAAGAGTCACCTCACGTCTGAACCTTGGTGTCCGATTTATTAAGCGAGAGAACAGCAGTCCCCTCTCTGCAGGCTGATGGAGGAATGCAAAGAACCTACACTATTGTCGCTGCTGCTATTGTTGAGGATCACCAGAATTCTGCAGAAGGAATCACAGTCCCTCCCTGCCTCCACTCTCTCTGCTATATCTGTACACTAAGGATCTGAAGCCATTGGCTCCCATTCCTGGGCAGACAGCCGTGGTCTCCTGGGGTTGGCTCGCCCCCAGCCCCACCCTCTTCCCAGGCCTTCCTGGGAAGCCCCTCTCCAGCCATACTGTTCTTGTCTCCAACACCTCAGCCTGGGCCCGAGAGGTGACAACAGGGGAGCCTAGACACAGAGACGCCACTGATACAGCACAGCCAAAGCCAGCTCCCTTCCAGCTCTCCCCAGGCACTGGGCCTGTGTGTAATGGACCCTTGGCAAATGCATATGCCCAATTCCCTGCTCAAGAGCAGAGCTCTGCGACCAGCTAGACCTCAGTCTGACTCATATTCCTGCTTGCGGCTGTGCTACCCCTTGGAACCTGGTGCTTCATCTGCCACACTTTCTTCCTGTCCCAAGGACCCTCTATGACATCTTTCTGCTGGCCCCCGGTGTCAGCATTGGTGGCCTCTCCAGCCCATTGACCTGGTGTGTCCCTGCAGGCTTCTGGGTCCCCAGCCTATGCTGATGCTCACTACCACACCTTTGCTCATGCTGTCCCTGTTTCCCATCTGCCTTCCCTGCCTTTCTAAATCCTCTCTAGAGCAAGGGTGGTAAAATGGGCTAGAAGGAGTTTCTGGAGAGATGAGGGCTGAATCCTAGAGCCTCAGGGCCTGGTCAAACTACCAGCCAAGCCTGTGCCCCAATCCCAAAAGAGCCCCTGAGACATAGTAGCCCTTGTTCCTTCTATCCCGAGTGCTTCATCCCTCTAAACATTCCCCTGAACCTGTTCCAGGTGCCCCTGGCTCCTGGGGGTGGGACCTGAGCTGAGCCCTGTGTCCCAGGGAGATCTGAGTGACACCGTTCAGCAGATGGTCCCACCCTGGGAGATAGGGCATCTCTCCATTGATGCTGTCTGAGGAGGTGCTTTCTACCTACAGGCCTAGCAGGAAGCCTGGGAGACCCCAGGGCAGAAAGTATGCCAGGGCTGGCTCCCCTTGAGCCCCAGCCTCTAGCCCTGGTCCCTGGGGTCAGCTTAGAAGCAACAGACAGGCCAGGGTGCACCGGGTGCAGGGCCTCAACAACCACAGCAGGACCGCACGCCCGCTGGTGTCCTTGGCCCAGCAAGCTAATTGGAAAAACCCAACAGCTCCCACAGCAGCACAGCCTCCAAGGCCCTGACTTCTGCACAGGCGGCTGGACTGAGGAAAGATTTGGGGGCTCACAGGTCTATAGGTTGTTGCAGCTCGGCACCAGCCATGATGGGGGAGGAAGAGGCAGGGGCTCTATCCCACAGAGATGATGAACGGTAGTGGGTCAGGGCAGCAGACTGGCAGACAGGCTGGCTGGAGCCAGGTGAGCATATGGAGGTGGGATGGGGGGAACAGGGCTGGGAGCAGGGGTGGCTAAGACCCCAAGGGATGACAATTCAGAGGCAGCTTGCAGCCCTTTGTTCACAGGAGTCCCTGGCTCCCCTCAGATACCTATGGCTTCCTCCCCTGAGGGCACCTCCCCCACTCAGTTATGGAGACCTGTCCCTCTATCTCTCCCCTCATCTCTTCACCTCCCTCCCTGTGCGTCCCAGTACTGGCCTCAACCCCAACCCTCTCTCAGCTCTAGTGATTCTTTAGTTAAGTGGTATATCTGGCCAGCCTTTCGGCCTAGGATTTTAAGGGCTTGTGGAGGCCAAGGTCAGGGGCCCCAGAACCTCTGCCCAGCCCCTCTGCTTCCCCAGGGGGCCTCCACATAAAGAGGAGCCTAGAGGACACCTGTAGATACGACGACCTTGGGCAGGAAGCCTGGATGCACACAGGGGCAGACAGAGCCACCCTCGTCCCCACAGCTCCCAACGGTCCTGACTCGGAGTGGGGTCAAGTTCTGAGGTACCTGGAAACAGAGACAGCCATCACAGGAGACAAGAGACCCCAGGACTGGAGACCTGGACGCCCCCAGTCATACTGGAGAGGCTCTTTGCAAAGTCCCAGAACCGGTGGCAGTGGGGCCTGGCCCTGAGCCAGCACCTAACCTGCCCAGAGACAGTAGGAAGGTGGGGAGAAAGGAGAGTAAAAGGAAGGCGAGGAGGGGAGGGAGAGGAGGGCAAAGGGGAAAGAGGGACAATGGAGGCCCCGGGAAGGATGCTGTTCACTGAGTGCTGGCTCTGGCCACCCTGGGGCAGATGTTTTCACACCTGGCCTCACTGATCTTGGACAACCCGAGGAAGTACGCTTCTGATCATGTCCATGTAGCAGACAGGGCACTGAGGGTCAGAGAGCTTAAGTTATACAGTAGAGATCAGATTCAAACCAGATCTGTCTGACCCAAAACCCTTGCTTCAGGTCACAATCTGTGCACTTCGGTTCCCTGCACTTATTCCCGTACTTGAAGGTGAGGCACAAGGTGAGGGAACCAGGGTCACACTGAAGGCCTCCATTCTGGAGAGAAGGAGGGGCGGACTGGCAGAGCCAGCCTGATGGACTATATAACCACCCAACACTGGGAGTAAAACCAGGTGCGTGTGAGGCTCCTCTCCGCAGCCAAGGTGAACGGGCCCTAATCTCTGGAAAATTAAATCAGAAAGAAAATGGAACGAGAAAGATTTGACACAGGCTGGGCCCTGCTGCTGGCTGTCTCGTCACAGGCCCAGGCTCAGTTGGGTGT